CAGCCCAGGGCCCAGGGCCAGGCGGGGTCAGTGTGGTGAGGGCCAAGGGGAGGGCTGCAGACAGTGTCCCACGTCACCCCTCCCATCCCAACTCCGAGCAGGGCCCACCCTCTGAGTCACCCCTCTTGTCAGATGCTGCTTCTCGCAGACCAAGGTGTGGCTGGGGATGGCCGTCCAGGTCCCCAAAGTGAGGTAAGCTATGGCCTCATGCAGCGCGAGCCCCGGGCCTGCACCAGGAGCAGGTCAAAGGGCAGAGCCGGCCCAGAGTTTGGGGAGCACAACCTGAGGATCAGGGTGCAGCCCTGCTGTCCAGCTCCAGGCAGAGGCGGGGTCGCCTCTTCTAGAACCTTCTCGCCCTGCGGTGCTGTGTGCCACGAGCCGCGTGGGTGACCGAGCCCTTGTGGGAGGCTGATGGAGCTCTGCCTGTGCTAATGTGGTTTTTTTGGGGGGCGGGGGGCACTGGCACGGGGAAGGCAGAGAGAGGCTGCTCCTCACCTGCTTCAGTGTCACGGGCGCCTGATGCGCTTCCAGGTCATTCCGCCTGGACACTGCGGCTCTCCGGTCACTGCTGGCTCCCGGAGCCCCTGCAGGTCCCTGGGCTGTCTCTCTCCTTCCCCCCAAGGCATGTCCACGGGGAGCCCCAGGGACTCGGGGAGGAGGGTGCGTCTCTCTCTGGCTCCCTGGGGACCCTCTCCCTCTCCACAGGGAGCCCCAGGCTGCTTCGGAGCCATGGCTTGTTCTCATCCCCTGGGCCCCCCGCTCCCCTGGCCGCCAGGAGCCGCAGCGGGAAACGTGTGGGCAGCACTACAGGTGGCGTCTCCCTCACCTTGGCTTCCCATCCTGCTCCTCCCACTTGCCTCTTTCCTCCTTTGTATCTTGTTTGCGAAGAGCCTGGCAGGATGCGCGGGGACCACAATGGAGTGGGCGTAAACAAGGCAGTGATCCCCTGCAGGCCTGGAGCAGCCCCCCAGCGTCGGCGGGAGACGGGCTGTGGTAGCAGGACCCACATTCCCTGTGCGTCCCGGTCCAACCGGAAGAGCCCCGCCTTCCTTAGCGCATCGCCTGGGCGCACGCCAGGCTCCAAGGACCCTCACCCGCGGGGAGCGGGGGCTCTGGGCGAGACGCATGTCCAGGGAAAGGGGGTCCGTGGCAGGAGGGGGAGCCCCTGAGGGTGTCCTGGTTTGCTGACCGGAGGCAGGAAGGAGCGGGAGCAGCAGGGGGCGCCGCTCCCTCTGTGTCCCCACAGCTGCCTGAATCTGGAACCTGATTCCCTTTAAGCGCACAGAGCGCCCGGGGCCGCCGCCAGCCCCGCTCTGCAGCCTCTGGGGCCCAGCCTCCGTGTCCAGGAGGACCAAGGCGACTCCAGGGGACTGTAGGGAAGGCAGCTAGCTACTGTGTGTCCTTTCTCTCGGGGCCTCAGTTTCCCCGTCTGCACAAGAAACAAGTACCCCCTTTGAAAGGCAGTGGGAAAGGTCAAACTGGGTGACCGTGGCGGGCAGTGTGGCCTGGAGGGAAGAGCGGGAACTGGACTGGCAGGAAGGCCCAGGTCTGAGCCCTGCCTGCCCCCTGCAGGCCTTCACCTTCAGAGCCTTCTTCTAAGGGTCATGACGCCCACCACCCAGGAGCTGTGAATATGGAGTCAGATAACACCCAGCACAGAGCAGCCTCGGGCGGGGAGCAGCCGTGCTGTCACCCTAAACCGCAGAGGGGTGCAAGCTCGCTCTCAGCAAGGCCGGCCTGGCCTCTCTGAGACTCAGCTTCCCCATCTAGGGGAGACAGGCTTAGAAGAAATGTGAGCTTCTGACCCTTCCCAGGTCTCCTCTTTTCTGTGCACCGAGAGGGGCGGGGGCAGGCCCGCAAAAGCATTGCCCTGAGCGACAGGCATCTTGCCACACGCTGTACTTCCCAAGGGGCCGCTCTGGGTCATGAGCTCCCCCCACTACCCACCCCCCCGCCCCCGGGACGTCCTGGACCTGCGGGCCAGTCCCTCTGCTCTACAGGCCTGGGCCTGCCCTCCGGGTCCGCACGCCTGTCCTCTCTCCTGATGGACGCCCAGCTCCGGGTCCGCACGCCCGTCCTCCCCCTTGATGGACGCCCAGCTCCGGGTCCGCACGCCCGTCCTCCCCCTTGATGGATGCCCAGCTCCTGGTCCGCACGCCCGTCCTCTCCCTTGATGGACGCCCAGCTCCTGGTCCGCACGCCCGTCCTCTCCCTTGATGGACGCCCAGCTCCTGGTCCGCACGCCCGTCCTCTCCCCTGACGGACGCCCAGCTCCTGGTCCGCACGCCCGTCCTCTCGCTGACGGACGCCCAGCTCCTGGTCCGCACGCCCGTCCTCTCCCCGATGGACGCCCAGCTCCTGGTCCGCATGCCCGTCCTCCCCCTTGATGGACGCCCAGCTCCTGGTCCGCACGCCCGTCCTCTCCCTTGACAGACGCCCGGCTCCTGGTCCGCACGCCCGTCCTCTCCCCTGATGGATGCCCAGCTCCTGGTCCGCACGCCCGTCCTCTCCCCGATGGACGCCCGGCTCCTGGTCCGCACGCCCGTCCTCTCGCTGACGGACGCCCGGCTCCTGGTCTGCACGCCCGTCCTCTCGCTGATGGACGCCCAGCTCCTGGCCCGCACGCCCGTCCTCTCCCCTGATGGACGCCCAGCTCCAGGTCCGCACACCCATCCTCTCGCTGATGGACGCCCAGCTCCAGGTCCGCACGCCCGTCCTCTCGCTGACGGACGCCCGGCTCCTGGTCCGCACGCCCGTCCTCTCCCCTGACGGACGCCCGGCTCCTGGTCCGCACGCCCGTCCTCTCCCCTGACGGACGCCCGGCTCCTGGTCCGCACGCCCGTCCTCTCCCCTGACGGACGCCCGGCTCCTGGCCCGCACGCCCGTCCTCTCCCCTGACGGACGCCCGGCTCCTGGTCCGCACGCCCGTCCTCTCCCCTGACGGACGCCCGGCTCCTGGTCCGCACGCCCGTCCTCTCGCTGATGGACGCCCAGCTCCTGGTCCGCACGCCCGTCCTCTCCCCGATGGACGCCCAGCTCCTGGTCCGCACGCCCGTCCTCTCCCTTGATGGACGCCCAGCTCCTGGTCCGCACGCCCGTCCTCTCCCTTGATGGACGCCCAGCTCCTGGTCCGCACGCCCGTCCTCTCCCTTGATGGACGCCCAGCTCCTGGTCCGCACGCCCGTCCTCTCGCTGAAGGACGCCCAGCTCCTGGTCCGCACGCCCGTCCTCTCCCCGATGGACGCCCAGCTCCTGGTCCGCACGCCCGTCCTCCCCCTTGATGGACGCCCAGCTCCTGGTCCGCACGCCCGTCCTCTCCCTTGACAGACGCCCGGCTCCTGGTCCGCACGCCCGTCCTCTCCCCTGATGGATGCCCAGCTCCTGGTCCGCACGCCTGTCCTCTCCCCGATGGACGCCCGGCTCCTGGTCCGCACGCCCGTCCTCTCGCTGACGGACGCCCGGCTCCTGATCTGCACGCCCGTCCTCTCGCTGATGGACGCCCAGCTCCTGGCCCGCACGCCCGTCCTCTCCCCTGATGGACGCCCGGCTCCAGGTCCACACGCCCGTCCTCTCCCCTGATGGACGCCCAGCTCCAGGTCCGCACACCCGTCCTCTCCCCTGACGGACGCCCAGCTCCTGGTCCGCACACCCGTCCTCTCGCTGATGGACGCCCAGCTCCTGGTCCACACGCCCTTCCTCTCCCCTGATGGACGCCCAGCTCCTGGCCCGCACGCCCGTCCTCTCCCCGATGGACGCTCAGCTCCTGGCCCGCACGCCCGTCCTCTCCCCGATTGACGCCCAGCTCCTGGTCCGCACGCCCGTCCTCTCGCTGAATGAATGAGTGCTCGCTCTGCTTTGCTTTTGTGTCTGGAGCCTTGGCGCAGGTGGTGAGCAGGTGGTGGCCGGCTCTGGTTTGTCCTCCGCCAGCTCCCAGGCCCCTCACCACATACCCAAACCCCACTCACCTCCAAAAGGGGTTCCTGCCCTCTCCTCTGACCCCACAGCCCTCATCACAGTGGCTTCACTTCCTGTCCCAGGCTCTGGGCCCCTGGGGCAGGGGCGGGGCCTGAAGTGCCCTCAGAAATTGCAGTTAATAAGGTAAGGAACAGCTTCCAATTCCTGCAGACTGTGTGCCAAGCATCAGGCGCCTGCACACACTGCACCCACCATCTGCTCCGTGGGGTCCCCCAGCACTCCTGTGAGATGCATGGAGACGGAAACCGAGGCAGAGCTGTGGGCCCTGGCAGACCTAGCCCGCGCCTGGGAGGACCATCCTCCAGGCTCTAAAGATCTAGGCATCGCGTGGCTCCGTGGTTCAGTATCAGCCTATGAACCAGGAGGTCATGGTTCTATTCCCAGTCAGGGCACAGCCTGGTTTGTGGGCTCGATCCCCAGTAGGGGGCGTGCAGGAGGCAGCCGGTCAATGCTTCTCTCTCGCCATTGATGTTTCTCTCTAGTCTAGCCCCCGCTCCCTTCCTCTCTGAAATCCATAAAAATATATTGAAAAGAAAAAAGTCCCAGCGTCTGGGCAGAAGGCAGGCCTTCCTGAGGGCTTGTCCCTGATGGAGGTGGGGCGGGGCGCGGAGGGACATCCATACAGCCATTGTCCAGGCCTGTGCTGAGGGGAGTGGGGTGGGCGGGCAGGAGGAGAAGGGTGAGGGACAGGAGACAGGCTGCGGAGGAGGGGGAGCAGCTCAGGCCGCTGGACCCCTGGACAGGGACGCGTCTGGTGCAGGGACTCGAGGGGCGCCTGAGACCTGCTCCCTGGGGGCTCCGCCTCCCCATGGCTCCCCCTCCGGGTCACCAGCCTGTCCATCGCGGGGGCTCCCAGACCAGGCCCAGTCCTGAGCCGCTGGGTGGGTCCAGGCCTGGAAGGCAGGGCGGGGGCCAGTGGGGGCGGGGGCGGGGCGGGGCCAGCGGGGAGGCCGGGCCGCCCCTTCCAGCGGGGGCGGGGCCGGGCTTCGCCTTTAAATGCGGTCGGGCCCTCTGCCCGAGGACGGCCAGCCCAGGAGGAGCCAAGGCAGCCGGCGCCTCTCCTGTCCTCCAGCCCCGGTCATGCCCCTGCGGTCCCGGCACCCGCCCGCCTGAGCTGAGCCGCCGGCGCATGTGACTGCGCGCCCGTCCCTGGCCCCTCCGCAGGCGCCCGGCCCCGGCGCGGCCTCCGAGTCCCCGCGGGTCCCCGGCCGGTCCCCCGCGCTGCCGCCCGCTGCCGGCCCCTTCGCCATGCAGGCGCGGGCGCTGCTCCTGGCCGTGCTGGCTACGCTGGCGCAGGCCCGGGAGCCCGCGGCGGCGCCCTGCCCCGCGCGCTGCGACGTGTCCCGGTGCCCGAGCCCCCGCTGCCCCGGCGGCTACGTGCCCGACCTCTGCAACTGCTGCCTGGTGTGCGCCGCCAGCGAGGGCGAGCCGTGCGGCCGCCCCCTCGACGCGCCGTGCGGGGAGAGCCTGGAGTGCGCGCGCGGCGTGTGTCGCTGCCGCTGGACGCACGCCGTGTGTGGCACCGACGGGCACACCTACGCCAACGTGTGCGCGCTGCAGGCGGCCAGCCGGCGGGCGCTGCAGCTCTCCGGGTCGCCCGTGCGCCAGCTGCAGAAGGGGGCCTGCCCCTTGGGTAAGTGAGCGGGCCGGGGCAGGCCGGTGGGGGAGGGGACGCGGAGGCTTCTCCTGGGGAAACTGAGGCTCGGAGCCAGGGCGGAGCCTCAAGGTCCGCAACCCCTGGGCACAGCTGGCAGGTGGCAATCATCTAGCCAGCCCTCCGCTGGGGAAACTGAGGCCCAGAGGGGTCACTGCAGCCTCAGAGGTCCTTTTCCGCGACTGCGCGACCCTGCTCTGGGGAGGGGGGGCGGATAGGGGGGGGAGCGATCTCTCCTGGCCTCAAGTCCCAGGCTGGGTGCCTGGAGCAACATGCAGTGTTTTCTTTCCTTTTCGCTGCACTTAAAATGCGTGTCTGCCGCGCGTGGGGTCCCGCTGCGTGGGGCTCCCTGGGAGAGGCCGCCTGGGATTCCTCAGTCCTTGGAGCCCTGGAGCCTGACCTGGGGTTGGCCCTGGGCTGCTGCTGCTGCTTTTTTTTTAAATCCTCACCCGAGGATATTTTTCTATTGATTTTGGAAGAGAGGGAAAGACAGAGAAACATGATGTGAGAGAAACACATCGATTGCCTGCCACACGCCGGCGCCCCAACCAGGGCCTGGGCCAGGCGGGAGCTGGCAACCCAGGTACGTGCCCTCCACCGGAATCAAACCCGGGACCCTCCAGTCCACAGGCTGACGCTCTATCCACTGAGCCAAACTGACTCGGGCCTAGGTTGATTCTTGCCACCCGGGTTGCCCCTCGGCAGGGGAGAAAAGGCTAGAAAACCCCGCTGTCCCCTTATCGGCGTAGCCCCGCGAGGGAAGGCCGGCTCCGGCGCTGGGTCGGCAGGGCTCCGCAGACCCTGCGTTGTTAGTGAGCAACACGTGAGGTTCATGGACCAGGCCCGTGTGGCCTCAGCAGGAGACCCCCAGGGCACCGCTGCCGGGTGCTGGGAGCCTTCAGAGATGGGGCTTCTCAGCTGAGGGTGCCCCCCAGGCAGCCGGACGGAGAGGCCGCCCGGACGAGGGGCTGCTGGGAACCAGCTCAGGGAGGCTGGCTGTGCGAGGACACGTGGGGAGGCCACACAGCTCTGAGCAGCCGGGGATGCGTGTGTACCTGCGGGCACATTTGCTGTGTGTGCCCATGTGTGTGGCACCAGGCTGGGCAGGCTGGCAGGGACGGGACGACCCAGGGCCACAGGATCGTGCATAGACTTCACCCTGTACACCAGCTTCCTGGGCCTGGTGTTCTGGGAGTTAGTGTCCGCGGCCCAGAAGTGTGGGAACGTGAACACTGGACTCCGCCAGGGGTTCTGAGAAAGCCTGCAGTAAGAGCATGCACACACATGTGCACATGCACACACGTGCACACACACATGTGTGCGCGCACACATGTGCACACACACATGTGCACACACACAGGAATGACAAAGCCCAGCATTTCCCAAGAGAATTGCACAGAGCGCTCTCCTTCCTGGGTGGGATCCAGGCTCTCCGGGCACGCCGGGGTTCCGGGGAGCCCAGCCTGGGAAGCACCAGCTGGCACTTACTGATTATTGGGGAGACTCACTGTGGGGCCCTGAGGGAAGTGAGGGCGATGCCTCAGACTTGGGCTTAGCCGGTGCCCAAGTCAGGGTGAGAGCGTGGTGCCCGGGTGTCTGGAGGTGGATGCTGTCATGTAATGGGTGCTCGCTGCACCCTCAGACGGCCCGTCTGCTCTGGGGCTGGGTACTGGCACCCCCCCTCCCCGCAGGCTCCACTGCTGGGTCTGAGGTGGAGGGCTCGGGGCGGGCGCCCGCCCATGCGGCTTGGTTGTGTGCATGGGGGCCCCTCCTACCCTCGCCCCCCGAGTGGACACTATTAGATAAGACTCCAGGGCCAGGCAGGCGGGCAGGGCGCAGGTGGCCCGGGCATTTGGAAAGTCTCACTCTTGACGGGCTGGGTCTGCCTGTGTGAGGTCCCTGCTCTGTGTGCGGCAGCCCTGGGCGGCGACAAGGGCCCCTCCATGAGGCACCCTGTCTGTGCCCCAGAGACACTGAGAGCGCGGGAAGACGCACGGAGGGGGGGAGAGGGGACCCGCCTGATGACCACAGGCAGGCCCCGAGGTGGCTCAGCGGGGACATCCCGGCAGGGGCATCCTGGGGTGCCTCTTACTCAGCAACGGCCTCCGAGCAGCTCCTTAGCCGCAGCTCCCTCATCTGTAGCGGGGGTGCCGGCAGCGTGTGCGGGAATTCTCGCGTCAGCAGGCCGCTGGTTATTTCACGCACTAGTGGCACCCGACGGCTGTGCGCCCACCCGCTGTTTCCTCCGCAGTCGGGGTGCCTCCGGGCCGAGCTGAGGAGGTGACTGGGCGCCCCAGGTAAAGGATGGGGAGGCGGAGAGGGACAGCAGCAGCGCGGAGGCAGGTGGGGTGGCTGGGCCGGAGGAGAGGGAGGCGAGGCCTCGCTGCAGGAGGGCGGCTTGGTTCGCAGGTCTGGGGTGGACACTCAGCCCCCCAGGGCCACGCTCGCACCACCCGGCCTGTGAGTCCCGCGCGGCCAGGCCTCGGCTGGCGCTGTCTCATTTGCTCTGAACCTGACCCTGCATGCACCACAGACGGGCCCAGGGAGGAGGGGCAGGGCCAGCGACTCGTCTGAGGTCAGTCGGCCAGGAAGTGCCCGAGCCAGGCCTGGCCTCTAGTCTGATGGGCTTTGAAAGCCACAGTCTCCGGGTCCCAGGCTTTCATCTGCAGCTGGGGGGCAGCGGGGTCCCTGAGGCCTAGAGTCAGGGTCAGGCCTGGGTCTGGGGCAGTGTCCCCTCTGCCCTCTGAGGGCCCAGCCAGAATGGGTAAGGCTGTGCCCATCCCCAGCTTTCTCGCACAGAAGTCCTGCCACCCTCACCTGGTCCCAGTCCCGCTGTCTCTTCTGAGCTGAGCCCTGTGCCTCAGCTGGCCGTATCCTGGGCCGCAAGGACCACCTGGGAAGTTTAGGTCGGAAGCCTTTCACCTTTGACCCTCCACTTCTTATTACTCAGCTCGCATCCACTGATGCATCTTTAGCTCAACCTGGACGTGTCCCCCAGTCGGCGTTGCTCCTACTCGCCTGGCCATGCTGGACTCCGCTTCCATCCTCCCCTCCCTCCTCCTTGATGTGCACATAACCTTGATAAGTCTGCCCTGCCTGTCCTCGGCGGGATGCCCTCGACGGCTCCCCGACACTTACCCTGACCCACGAGTGCCGTGCCCTCTGACCCTCCTACCCCAAACGCCTTCTCAGCCTCTGTTCTCCAGCCAGACTGGTCTTCCCACCCCAGGCCCCTTGCACATGCTGGGCCCGCTGCCCCAAACCCTGTTCCCTCACCTTCGTGTGGCCTAGACGGCCCACCAGCCCTAAGCTGCCTTCCCTGAGCACCTTGCCCAGGCAGCCCCTTCCTTAGCCTCAGCAGTGCACCCTGGGGTCCCCCCTAGACGCTCACACCGCCTTTTGACCCGATGCTTTCTGTCCATCTGCACCAGGCTCTGAGCCTCACAGGCGGGGGTGTGGTCTGTTGCTTCCCTGGCGGGCTGGGCCCAGAGCCTGGCGCACAGTAGGTGCTGTGAGTCACCACGTGACGTGTGCATCTCCTCCGAACCTCCCCGTCCTCGGGTGCCCCCAGGAGTGGGGCTCACCACCTTTCTGGGAGGCAGTTCAGCTACATGGTGTGCGCGCAGACCTCTCTAATGGTACCATGAACGCAGAGATGAGGGGTCCGGAGGGTCTGCCCAGCGCAGAGGCCTCCCTCCCCCCAGAGCCCTGTGAGGCTCGCAGCCTCTGCCCGGCTGCAGACCGCAGGCCTCTGAGCGCAGGGAATGCAGAACCCGGAGCCCCGGGCGGCGTATGTGGCATCTAATAATCAGCTTTTATTGTGCAACCCTAGCAGGTTCCCGCTGCGGCTCCCAGCGCTATTTATTTAAGAGCTTTGTTGGCGTTTGATTTTTAATCCTCTTAGCAAATCAGGCAAGATGACGCCTCCTCCACCCCCAATCCTCCCTGTGACGCCTTCCCCACGCCCTCCTCCCACGGACAGCAGAGCTGAGCTGCAGCGTCTGCCCTTGCTGGGCGGCCGGCGCCAAGGCCACTGGGAGCCAGGAGCGCAGCCAGAGGGGAGCTTGAGGCCCGGGGCTGGACAGCTGACTCCAGCCAGAGCTCAGCCTGAAGCTCCCTCACCCTCCGCCTTCCTTTGGCACCACATGCCCAAGGCACCCTCGGGTCGGCCTCCGCACAAGGTGCTCGGCTCTCCCCTTCCTCCTGAAAGCCCGCCATCCATGGCTCCCCTCGCCCTCAGAACCAAGACGACTTCTGAGCGGCTGCAGGCGTGGTGCGGCCTGGCCTCTGCCTCCTGCCCACCGGCACCACCCCTGGCAGGGCCCCTGGGAATCCCCAGTCCCGCCTGAGGGACAGATGAGGAGGTGCAGAACCCAGCGAGGGGTGATCAGGGAGGGCTTCTGGAGGAGGTGGCACAAAGGGCCTGTGCAGAGGAGCATGGCAGGAAGTGCTGAGCCAAGGCGGGTGCAGATGGAGGAGCCACAGGGTGGCCCATCTTTTGGGCCGGGTGGGGGCCGAGGAAGGTTTATGGGTAACAGGTGTGTATAGGGGGTATGGGGACCCAGCCAGTGTCCTGGGTGCAGGAGCTGATGAGGCCTGGCAAGAGCTGGGGGGGGGGGGGGGGGCGGCGCGGAGAGGGGAGCAGAAGCAGTAGGAGGTTAGGACTGATGGGGGTTGGAGGTTGGGGGCAGTGCCAGGGCGGGGGTTGGGGGACCCTGGGAGGAGCTGATTAGAGAGGCAAGATGATGAGTTCTGGGGGGCCCCCAGCACGGAGGGTGTCCGTGGGGGGCTGGGCTCTGTGTTGATAGCCTGGTCGGCGCGTGGCTGTCTGTGGTCAGTGGCCATGCACTGTGTGTGTGTCATCCGGAGGGTATGGCTCATTGCCTCGCCAGCCTGGGGGACCCTCCATGACCTGTGCCGCCCCTGCAGCCCCACCCCATCCACCCCGCCCAAAGCCAGGTCCCTGTCCTTTCCTCCAA